GTTCGAGCCGCCGCTGCAGGCTCGGGATCGGGATGCGGTGCGGGCTGGTGTGCTGCGCTCGCGGGCCGAGTACACTGAGGCCAGTGGCCCCTGCGTCCTCACGCCATACCGGGACAACCTGCACCAGATCGACGCCGTGGATGGGCCCGCGGCTTTCCTGGACATCCTGGCCCCGCCCTACGACCCGGACGACGGCAGGGACTGCCACTATTACCGGGTGCTGGAGCCCGTAAGGCCCAAAGAGGCCTCCAGCTCGGCCTGTGACCTGCCTCGAGAAGTGTGGCTCTTGGAGACTCCTCAGGCCGATGATTTCTGGTGCGAGGGAGAACCCTATCCAGGTCCCAAGGTCTTCCCTTGAAGCCGTTGGTACCCGGGAGCGGTCGACCGAAAATGAGCCCTGCCCTGGTCAGGGCCTGGCTGCCTGCGACTCACCCACAAGGGCTCTGTGTCTACTCCCTAGCCTGAGCTTTGGATCTACTGGAATGAGCAGTAGCCGCTTCTTCAGCAGCCTTGGGAAGCACGGGAGCCTGGACAGCAGCCACCCGGCACGGTTGTGGGGGCGGAGTGGGCGGGGAGGCGCGATTGTTTCTTGGTACTGTCACTGCCACCAGGACTCTGATTTGGGGGATTGGGACAGGGGACTGTCTGAAGCGCTTCCATCCTAAAGCCATAATGAAATTCTTCCTCTGCTCCCCATTCTACTATACACTAAAGAGTTTTCCCCCCTCCTCGGTAAATAGGGTTCGTTGTCCGTTCATACATATAACTCTTATGCCATTTTACTCCTAGCTTTAATTTATTATTGACCGTGCATGTCCCAGTGGTTTGAATTGTTTTTAGTTCAAGTCATTGGTAAAAACAAGGCTTAAAGAGATGAGCTACTGTTTAAAGTGAGCTGTCCTGCCTAATTATTTCCTTAAGAAAATTAAATCACTTTTTTCAGACTTGGGGAATCACCTTCCAAACTATGCATGTAGAGGCTGAGGTTTATTTTCTTTCTTCCCCTTGTCCAGTAGCCACATCTGGTTTATTACTCAGGCAGCATTTACTAAGAAGTTGAGCACCTGCATATCTCAGTGACAGATGGTTATTTAGCGCTTATCTTCCCTGTGAATCTCCAGATCTGTGAATGGAGCAGATTTCTTGTTGCAGATTCACCTTTAATGCAAAGACTATATTATCCTCAAGTGACTTTTTTTCCTTATCTTAATGTATGTTGTGAGGTAATAGGGTGATTATTTTCTAACCAGAAGACTGAGAGGAGCTGAATCATTTATGCTTCCAAACTATTGAATGTAACACACCCCTATTTACTTCCAATATTTTATTGTAAAAGTAGAGAAAAATATTACGTCAATGACTGTTTCACATCGTCACAGAAACTCTAATGTTCCAGAAGGCTGGTGGTGGTTACAGCTGTGTTGCTGGCAGTGTTATTTCAGCCCTCTCCCTCGAACAAGAGGGTAAGGAGTGTGCCTCATCAAATGTGGTTTTGTAGGAAGAGATAGAAGACACAGATGATCAAGGTTAGAGAATTAAGAATTAACTATATTACTAGCCATTTTAGGGCATCAAAATTTGGGATTATACACTTCACACTCCCAACTCCTGAACTGAACCTTTGTGCTATGACTAGTTTTATTTTTGTCCTTTTAACGGACTGAGCAACTTTACCCTGTTTACAAATGTATTGACACCATTTGCTTCAGGCCAGGGAGAACTGTTTTCCCCCTTTTTACTATTTATAGGATTCCTTTTTTTCACGAAACTTTTAATAAAATCAAACTGTAGAAATAAACACATTAAAGTTTGCCCAGCTGTTGTCTAAGCCCTCTTGATTGACTTGCCCATGTGGCAGTAGAGTTGTGATATGGATGGTGAAGGACAATTCACTGTTATTGGTGGGAAGTGTTAGGAAACAGTATGTGCCTTTGCCTCTTTATGCACACTGGTTATGGGGCCCAGGGCGAAGGACTTTGTTTCCAATTTTTAAAATAGTGTGAAAAAGCAAATTCTTGACGGTTTTTAACAAGATGCTATTCAACATAACATGTTGTAAAACCTGACACAGGCATAATACCAAGCATTTCCTCCAGGATTGCTATAATTATTTTAGGGTAGCTTCAAGTTCTGGAGTGCTTTAAATGCCTTGGGAGCAGTTTGGGACAGCTCCCCATACCACCCAGTTTGAAAATCAAGTCTAGATATGCAAATAATGATTTTCTTAGAAAACTTCACAAAATGAAATGTCTTTTTCATAGCATAGTCTGTGGTTAGCAATCACATACTTAATCTTTTTTGAATTACATTGTAGCAAAAAATCGATTAACTCACAGATTGTTCCTAGTTATGTATACAACCTGAAGTACATTAAACTAACCTACAAAAATTTATCCTGGCTATAGAACAGTAATAAAAGAATTATAAAAGACTTCAATCTGAAAAAAGGTGTTATCAAGTTCTCATTACAAGCAATTTGATAGGGAAAAAGTAAGGTGCTTTTCAAAAGAAAACTGAAATTGTTGCAGGCCAAAACGGCAATACGATCTCTCTGATTTAGTTCAGTAACAGTGAAATTTTGATTCACAAATAAATTCTGAGTGAATTAATGTTGAAAACAAAATGTAACTTGTGTTGATGAGCCACTAAGGAAAGTGCTCAAAACAAACAAAATGTGCAGAAAAATCTTTTGCACCTGTATGCATAAACTGTTAGATATAACTGACTTCATGTGCTGCTCTTGGGTTTCTACATAGCCCTGCAATGTAGATTATGTTTTAGTAACAACTGTGGGATAAAAGTTATCTTCCCCTAGGAAAGACTAATGAACACAATGATATTAATCATTAACTTCTCTGTTGAATAATAAATGCAATAATTGCCTCTCTGGATGAGAAATTGTCTGTCTAAATACTTCTGAAGCTTTTACATTTTCTAGTTAAATCAACATAGGATATTATGTACCTACCTACTATATGAGAATTGATTTTTACTAAATTCAAATTGAATGACTTGAGTTTACCCCAACTGCTGCTTTATTAATGAAAATGGTAGCTTTTTAAGTAATACGTGTTTTGTCCAGAGGAATGGTTTCTCCAAGCTTAACACTCATTACCCTTAACTTCTCTCCAATTGCACACCTTTGGTTCAGCTCCTTTTAATTGTCTCTTGGTAGGTACCTGGGTCTTGGCATCTCAGAACTCTTATCATTTGCCTATTCCAACTGATTCTGCATCTCGTGCCCTAGCTCTAGTGCCCAATGTCAAAGCAGTACATTTTCAGTTCAAGGCTCTGCCAATGGCTGTTCAACTCTGACCTGAGGGCAGTTCAGCTCCTGTAACTGCAGGTCTAAATTTGGAACTTAAAGTCACAGAGGTTGACCCCTGATCACTGCCATTGCATTGAAGCCTCTGTTGTCAAAGAAGGAAACCATTTATTACGCCTCATAAATACTGAATCTTTAAGTCCAGGGATATTTACATTTCTGGATTAAGAACGATATACTTATGGCGAATAAAGGTGTGTTTAAAATTGGTTAGAGATAATGGGACTAGCATATGGTATAATGATTACGTCCTGGACTCCATAATAGTCGACCACGGTTTGAGTCCTGGACCCAGCAGCTTAAACACACTGGGTGTGTGTGCTTGCCCAAAATCCCAAGAGGAGAATGGAGGAGAAGGGATTACAGTATGGCTATCCCCACTGGGGAGTGATTTCTCACTTTCTGTCTCTCCAGGGAGTGCATGCACCTTATAGCAAAAATCTCTTTAAAAAAAAAATGGTTAGAGCTAAATCTGTTGCAGAATGGAGAAGGAAGACTTTCTGCTCTGATGTCTACGTTTTGATTACTGTTAAAAAGTTCATGGTCTATACTGAAAGATTATATTGTACTTAAAACTGATGACCTGCAGATTTCTAAAGTCCAAGTGATAATGTAAACTTAAAATTAGTCATTTATTTTGAGAGTGAACTTTAAAATAATATGACTGGAAATATATCTGAAATGAATGTCCAATCTTACTATTTCTCTGTAACAGAAAACAAAACACTTCTCTTATATTTAATCAAAAGAAAATAATCTAGTACAAGAAAACAAAACTACTTTCATCCTAGAAGGAAAGATTCTTAAGACATAGAATTCTTTTTTTCCTTTTCCTATAGGATTTAGAGTTGCAACTGACCACATTTTAGGCACTTGTATTGATGCTGGCAATTTTCCCTACCCCCAATTTTATTGAACTTTTATTTAAAAACGGCATGACTGCTACTTTTTATATTATGAAACAACTTGCCTTCATTAGCAGTTAGGACGTTGAAATTAAATAGACTGGTTTATGAACACTTAACCTTATTTCAGTATAAATAACCTGTTACTATAAATTAAACTATGTCAAAAGCATTATGAATCTTTTAGGACTTAATCTCCAAAAGTTACTTGTTGGTAAAATCAGTCAGTAACTATTCTACAAGGCGTATGGCTGAGATTAGAAGGAGCAGACCTACTTGTGCTATGCGTTTATTTCTTAAAGAAAAAAAAAAAAAGTTGCCTCTAAAAAGGGCCCTGAGCATTTTAAAGAGAGAGCAAAATCTGGTTGAAAGCATTAGCCTAACATGCTGAAATCTAGAAGTAAAAGCCACAAGGTTGTCTCAAAAAACACTGCGATGCAGTGTTCCTTGGGGTGTGCACGTACTGCTACCTCACCAAGCCCACATTAAGGTGAAAGTGATTGTGTAACCAATCTGGCTATCACCAAAATGTGATAGCCAAATCTTTTTCCAATCTTACTTTTAACATGACTTTTAGTTCTGCTTTGTAAACAGTGGTTGAGGTGATCTTAACTGAATACTCCAAAATTAAAATTTGGCAAGGCAGTTACAACCTTACAAAACTTCGATGATTTAGGAATATTTTAATATATGAAATCTTGGTAGAATTTCTCTTGTCTTGGGATGAGAATCAACTGCCCTACGAGACTAATGTCGACGTTTTTCCTTTAAAAACATAATTATCAAAATGGCATTATTTTATACTTACCGAAATTGGACAGATAAGGTTGCTAATATGCTGACAAACTGGTGAATGTGAATCTGAAAGAAAGACATCAACAACTATAAAAATCTGACACTAAAATGTTGACATTTCCAGTCAATAGTTATAGAAAGAGGTATTCTACATCCTTGAAAAAGAAGGAGACAGGAAGTTTAAAAGAAAAAGGTCATTACCTACACAAGTTGGATCTCAAATTCTAGTGCTGGTAAGAGGAAAAGGTGGTTTTCAGGAATAGCTGTGACCATCTGATATTCATAAAAGCAGGCCATCAATTACCAGCTAAATCTGAGGTGATAGAGGACGAACATACCAAGGCATTTTTCAGAGTTAGCTAAACGGTGGTACTCCAACGTGTTGAATTTGTGTAAGAATTCAAAAGCAGTGGGTGCACTTAAATGGTATTTACTATTTATAAGGCCCAGATTTTAGAGTAAAGACAACTTTACAAAGACATGATTTGTTTGCTTTGTATAATAGGTGGGTAAAGTATTTTCTGGTGGATTTACATTTGTAAGTCGAAAAACATGCAGTAACATGAACCCTATCTTGTATTCTTTTGCAAACCTTTATCTACTGTCATGGAAGACCATATTTGCCTATTTCGTTTAGATTGTCTTTCTTCTAGATGTTCTTAAAGCTTATGCACATCTTATTTAACAAGCTAGGTATTTTGATAGTCACTTCTAAACCCACTAAGCCTATGGCAGATTAAGGATCCTTGAAAACAGGAGTACCCCTTGGGAGTGCAGGTTGAGGAGAGATGAGTCCTGGGGTAATTCCTTCAGCAACCCATGAACGCTGTCGTCAGCATCTGACAACATGTTTGATTTGAAGTGGTGATAGCACTTTTCAAAAACTTCTCTGTGGTCAGGAGACTAATCCTGGAACCTGAAAGTCATTTCCAGCTTGACCACGCCACCACACTTTCCACAAAGCCACATTTCCTCTGAGTTCCAGCCCTGGTCAGGATTCTGAAAGCAGTTACAAATGTGTAGTCTCCGAGTGGGCACTTGTTTGTAAGTATTTATTTTCCGGAGCCCACTCAAGAGCAGAGAGAAGCTATAGGCTGTTATGGAGGACGGAACAATGAGTCAAAACAACGCCTCCCCACTTTTACACCAATGCATGGGGGAAATCCCGAACTCTAGTGTTTGATTATGAATGGAGATTGCTTTGGAGTGAGAGGGTAGGGTTGGTGTCCTCAGGCTAGCAAAAGAAAGCTTGGAGGTCCTGGTTTGGTCGAAGCTCTTTAACCCACTAGAGCTTAATGCTGTTTTTTAATGATCATGCAGGTGTTGAATGACTAATCCCTATCCTATAAATATTTTATAAATGATTTCTGCAGCAAAAATATTGTTGAAAAGTATTTATTTACACTATAGTCATAAACCATCCATTATCTGAACCTTAGTTAGTGGTTTTGCGTTAGATCATTTATTTTTCCACAACTATTAAGAGCTAATAACCAAACACATCAGCTCCAGTAACATTATGTACATTCTTATCTCAAATTTGACTACAAAGGTAACACTTTTAAGTCACAAAACAGCATACAAAAATATACTTTCTAAAAAAAATTCCAAATATTAATAGGCAGAAATATACAGCCATACTAAACCCAGGGAATGATTTTTTTTTTCCATAGTAAGGCAGCCCATTTACATGCAGACCCTGTAACATTGTCTACATCACACAAGGCACCAAGGACACTTCCAACACAATTGCATGCATCCTAGTTTCAGAGAATATATGTACATCCCCCTTTAAATAAGTTAACCTCTGACTCATTTCAAGAGATCATAAATGCTTTACATTTTTTTCCCAAAGGTTCAGAACTTGGAGCACAGTGCACATCAAAAATACGCAAAATCTGAGCCAATATAAACTGAAAAAATAGTCTTTACGTTTGTCAAACAACTCAAAAAGGATCAGCTATTGCTATGTCCCTCCCATCACATTGCACTTCTGTTCTCTGAGTTTATAATACATATTGCTTAAAGGGTTGAGACGACTAGATAAGCTTTGATTCACTGTTCTAGGGCCACAGAGGCAGCATAAAGGCCATGCTTCACTCACTGTACAGCGCCCGCCAAATTAGTCCCAAGCCATAAAGTGCACATCAGTTTCGCTTGTCTTTTTGCTGTCCCACTTGATGGGGTCAGCATCTCCCAACCTACTGTAGGAAAAGTCTCATGTCAACTCTGACGTCCAGGGCCAAAAGACTGTAATGGGTCAAATAAAAGGAAGGAGGAAGCAAACCTAGTCCAATAACCCTTTAAAGCAGGGTGGGACCTTAGCCCTCTAGACCAGCAGCACCCACTCAACCCCTCCGAGCCTCCCTCTTGCCTTGGGGTGACAGTCAGCTCCCCTAAGAGAGGCTAACATGGGCTTAAGAAGGACCTGCTTCTCCATGGAAAAGGGCAGGGGCAGTGCTGGGCTCCACTAAGGCCCTTTGCCCAGAGAAAGGAGAGAGGGGCAGGGAGGGTGGTAGTGTTTGTCATGCAGCTGAGTGGACCAAGGGCCTCTGGGGATTTCAAGGAGCTGGTGTGTCAGCCTGCGTATCATCTCAAGGTGTCCGGGTCCGAGAGGAGCAAGGGGCCAGTGGCCCTGCACCCAGAGTGCTGCTGTTGTTGCCACACAGTGCACCCCCCGCCTGCGTGCCTCCTGTGCAGGAGGCTGTGGAAGGTGCCGGGACTGACGAGGAGGGGGCACTGCTTTTCCTCTCCTTCTGTCTCAGGTGGATCTTGGTATGGCGCTTCCTCTCATCACTCCGGGCAAACTTGCGGCCGCAGTAGTCACAGGCAAAGGGCTTCTCACCCGTGTGCGTGCGAATATGGGTAGTGAGGTGGTCACTGCGGCTGAAGTTGCGCATGCAGATCCGACACTGGAAGGGCTTGTGGCCAGTGTGGATTCGGATATGCCGTGTCAGCTCATCGGAGCGGGAGAATCGCCGGTCACAGCCTTCTGCTGGACATGGGTAGGGCCTCTCATGCACCGGGGTCTTGCTGGGTCTGTTGGGGTACTTGCGAGGCCTCAGGATGGGCCGCAGTGGCAAGTGGTGTGGGTTGTAGGCAGCAGCCCCAGCCGCAGCTGAGCTGCTACCAGGCAGCCGGGGTCCCTCGCTGCCTCCACTTGCCCCTGGTCCTGTGACCCCTGCACTTGGCCCCGCCAGGGTAAAGTTACGGATGGTAGAAAGTGGAGTCAGTGGAGGGGGGACCCGCAGGGAATCCAGGGGACAGGGAAAGGGCTTGCGGTCTGCGCCAGCTGCACCATGTAGGTCTCTCTGGCACTGAGATGGAAAAAATCCAGGATAGTCTGGGATCATGGGGAAGAGGCCTGGGTCCGTGGCCGGCTTTGGGGATGGGTAGGAAGGAGGTGGTGGGTAGGCCAGAGAGGAGGAGGTGGAAGTGGTGGCTGGTGACAGAAATGCAGAGGGGTCCTGGTAGAGGTCTCCTGCACAGCCGGAATAAGGAGGAGGAGGTGGTGGCGGAGAGTAGAGATGGTCCAGGTCAGGCTGGTTCTGGGACATGGTGCACACACCCAGGGGTCCTGTGGCCAGTGGATTGGGGGAGACGGAGGTGACGCTGGACGAGGCTGTGGTCGAGGCTGGGGAGGTGACCCCTTGCAGGATGCCTGCACTCACAATATTGATGATGCCTTCTGGGTAGCAGCTGGCACCAGGGTACTGGGGGTCGATGGAGAACTTGCCCATGTACGTGAAGGTCTGATTTCTGGGTGCAGAGACTGGAGCAAAGCTGCTGGGATAAGGGAGATCCAAGGCCCTCTTCTCTCCAGTCATGTCAATGTTGATCATGCCATCTGGGGAGGAAAAGGCAGAACAGAGGTGGCGCAATGAGAATGCAGTCAAGAATCCCCTCCACTCCCTCTCACGCGGGTCTGTCTCCAAGGCCAGGAACAGGGCACTGTAGGGCTGGGTCAAAGTTCAACAGGTGGGGAAATTGAGATCCAGAGACAGCAAGAGGCTAGTCCAAGATCCTACTGTGTTAACCAGTGACAGTCTGGGATGCAAACTACCTCCAGGAAAGCACGATGAGCTCCTCTTAACCACCCCCCCCAAGCCATCTGTGGCTCTAGTCCCCAATAAAAACACCCAATAATAGCAACATTAACAATTCCCCATCTGCCTGGAACTTCTCTCCCTCTCTTCTGTCGGGGGTTCCCACAGCTAGGGCACCAGAACAGACACAACTGAAGGACCGTCCAATCCCAGCTAGTGGCTGCAAGGCGCCAGCCCGAGAAAGGAGCTCAAAATGGGACAGAGGGGTCGGAGATTTCCCGGTTGCTCCCTATCCTTGGTGTCTTCTCTCCTGCCCTCTCCCGCTGCGCTTCTGCTGAACGCTGTTGGAGGGAATGCGGCTGCGGGGGAAGAAGTCCGTAGGCTTCCCTTTCCTCCCGGCCTTCCCGGCCTTGCCGGATACCCGCGCGTCCCCGCCCCAGCTCAAGGCCCCTGGACCGTCTTCGAGGAAGGCGGGGAGGCCGCAGGAGACCACTTTCACAGCATCGTCAAGGAAACCGGCGGCGCCAATGCCCCGCGGGCCTCGCTCCGCACTCCGGGGGCTGCTTCCCGCGGTGGCCCGCCTTCCTCCATCAGCTCCTCCCCACCCCCGCTGGCCCGAGCCCCCGCTTAGCTAACCCCCTCAACTTCGCAGGCGGCGCGCAGGTGGGGGCGCGCCTCCAGGCCGCGGGAGAGCGCCCTACGACATTCCTCCAGCTTGGCTCTGCCCGGGAGCTAGCTACCGACGCTTTCTTCTGGTGCTTCTCCGCGCTCGGCTGTAGAGACGCGCAGGTCTTCCCTGCCCCGGGAACCCTGAACTTTACCGTCACTTTGTCCCTACTCTGCGAAACAGGACGCTGAAGTACTGCCGGCCCAAGAGCCTGTGCAAGCCTCGAAGCCAGGAGGGGCGCCTCTCCCAGCCCCATCCCTGAGCGCGCCCGGAGCTGGGCGCGCCGGGGCGCACGCACGCCTTTCGCCGGCGACCTGGCGCATCTGCCCGCGCGCTCAGCTCCAGTGCCCCGGTCCCTGCTCTCTCGGGCTCCTCCTGCACCCACTTGCAGTCTCCAAGTCAGTGCAGTCAACGCCATCCACCTACAACCCAACCCTGTTGTCCAAGTCCCGCACACCCACCACACCCCACCCACCACCTCCTAGCCGCACGGGTCCGGTCCTGCGAGGAGAATCTGCGGCTTACCTCCGGCCACTCCATTCATCTGGTCAAAGGGGCCTCCCAGTTCGGCATTGGGGAAGATGGTCACCGACGGGGCGGCGAGGTCCTCCACCGGGTAGATGTTGTCAGACAGCTGGTGCACAAAACCACTGAGAGTTACTGGGATTTTGTCTACGGCCTTGGCGGTCATCATTTGCTCCTCGCACAACCTGGAGACCCAACTCCCTCGCTACCTGGAGTGTCAGAGAAGCCGTTTTGGAGAGGTGTTGGACCGAGGCTGGGTTGGTATCTCCTTTTGCCCTCCACACTTAAAAACCACCTATCAAAAAAAAAAAAAAATCCAACAGAAATAAAACTAGCAAACAAGTTGCCGTTTTTTTCAGAAAGAAGAAAAATGGCTATTTGCCACTGACTCTCTCCTCTCTCCTGTGATCCGGCCGTTGGAGAGCCAGGAGTTGCTGGTGTAGTGTTATTATAACAGTCAGTGTGTCCCCTCGCCGAGCTATTAATCAATTGCTGCTCTCTCAGTTAGACGGAAAGTGTTGCTCTAAGTATTTATGGGCAGGTCCTCAATGCCCGTGACGTCGCTGCCCATATATGGACTGAGGAACAGGGCTGGGCCCGGCGGCTTTTGCCGTCACATGGCCTATTTGCATACGGGCTCTGCCGCGCGGGCTCCGCCGGGGCTCGGGACTCGCGGCTCGCAGCCCGCGGGGACTCGCAGAGGTCAGGGGCACGCGGCCCGAGCTGCAGCCCCGGTCACCGGTGCAGAGACCCGCGAGAAGGGGGTGCGCTGCGGCCCCCGCCGCGGCCACTTCGGGAGAGTGAGCGAGCCCGAGCTGCAGCTCGGCTCCCGGGGCGGGGAGGAATTCCGGTTCTCCGGGACTTTCCAAAAAAGGCGAAGATCCGGTGCCGGCGGCTCCGCCTCCCCAGCCCTTGTTTGGGAGCCATTCCGGAAAATTAAACTTCGGAAAGAAACCGAGCGGAGCCGAGACACTACAGTCAAACCCCTACTCACTTTCTTGGCAGCTCAAAACAGCAAGCAAGAAAGAGGCAGAGCAGAAAAAAAAAAAAAAAAAGCTGCATGCATTCACGGAAGCTGACTGCTTTTTTCTGAATTACTTGGTGGAAAGAAGTGGCTGATGATAAGAGTGAATGCGGTATTGCTTTTTTGGAAAGTCTGTTCTATTTATACAGGAGCGAAAACGGAACAGGTTTGGGTTGTTTGTTTGTTTAAGTATTTTGGGCACTTTGGAGCTGGGGAGTAGACCCTAGAAGGAGCAGAATAACTGCAGGGAGCTTCAAGAGAAATCCTCAACCAGAGACAACCCCCCTTCCTCTGCCCGCGCGCTCCCCGCCCCCCTTCAGCTGGCGCGGGGAGCGGGCGCCCTTCCCGGCGCGTCTGGGCGGTCGGCTGCGTGGGGGCGTCCAGATGCAGGCATGGACACTCACCCTGCCCCGCCACACACGCGCGCGCACACACACACATTCGCTCCACTTCCGCTACACACACTCCCGCCCCCGCTACCTCTTCACACACCCACTCACACACCTTACGCTACACTCCTCCCTGTTGACAGCGCGCCCGTGCGCCTGCCTGGCTATCAGGGTGTCCGGGCTTGCCGGACCCGACACTCTGGAAGACACTGTCCCCACTTTCACTGCCTATGTGGGCGCCACAGAACCGACCTCCGAGAGCCCACACTTCGGGGATGCGCCGTGCGCGCACCTGAGCAGCCCTACTCCGAACACACACACTCCTCTCCCGCTCCCTCGCAAGAGCCACCTCGGTGAGCCCAGAGCGGTCTTGAGTAACAGTAAACTATGTCTCTAACTCCAGTTTCGAGGCGTCGTCACCCCACATGCGTTCGCCTGTGCGAGTAAATAAAAACCTGGCCCAGTAGAAAGCTGTTTAGTTCCCAAAGCAATTTTACAAAACTTTTCAGAGGTCCAGATAGTGGCGGGTTCAGGTCTCTCGACGCGCGGTCCGTACCTCCCAGAGCGCCCCAGCCCACACCGGGAGCTCTCTAGACCTAGCCAGGACCCCGCGGGAGGCTGATCCCGGGTCCCCAAGCCCGGTGTGCCGCACCCTGCCTGCCCGCGGTCGTGGGCGCAGCCTGCGAACTGCCCCTGCTCTTTGCCGCTCGAGGCCGGCGGTTGATCGCGGGGACAACCCCTCCGGCCCAGCGGGTCCTTTTCCGGCCCCGGCCGGGAGCTGCCCCAGCCTCCTTGGGACCCAAGCGGGCGGGAGCCACGGCGCCACGCCGTGGAGGAGCTCGGAGCTGCAGGCGGCTATCGGCGCTCACCTGCTGCAGCCCGGCAGCGCACCGGCAACCACCGCGCTCGGCTGTCAGGACCCCAGGGCAGTTGGCAGTCGCCTGTCGCCTCCGTCCTCCACCCGAGTTCCTCTTCTCCCCCTGCCCAGAGCAAAAGCTGATCTCTGTGGCCTTCCCCGACGCTGACTTCAAACGCCCAGAGCAAATTTGGGAAAGTTACTCCCTCACGCTGAGCGCTTGTTTCCACTTGCAGATAAAAATAAAGGGGAAAAGGGAAGAAATTGCAGCAAGGTCACACCTTTGTAGGTAACCCCCTCCCCCGCAAAAACGTGCAAAGTCCCTTTCTGAAAAAAGAAACGAGAAAAAAAAAAGTTGCACTCTTACCACGTGCGCCAGCCCACTCCTCCTGCGCTCCGGCCGGTCCCGCGGCCCCTGGGCTGACCACGGGCAAGACGACGCCTCGGAGGGGAGCCCGACTCGCATCTCCAGCCCTGGGTCCGAAAAAAGGAAGAGGGTGGGAGACAGAAGCGGGATTATGCAAATATGGATCCCGGCGGCGGGGCTCGGGTTACGGCCCCCGCCGGCTCCCCGAAGTAAGGCACCCACCGGCCGCAAGCGGCGGGGGCGGGGACGCGCGCGCGTCGAAAGGTGGGCGGGCGGGCTGGCAGGAGAGTTGCGCGGGCCGCCCCTCGGCGGGCGCTGCTGCCAACCCAGTCGACGATCGCACCGCGCCGCCCGGAGGGGGAGCTCCTGGGCGCTCGAATGCGGGGCAAGAAGAGCGCGGAGGGCAAGATGCCGGCCAAGAAGGTCGGATCTAGAGGGAACCGAGCGGTCTGCGGCTGCCACCCTTCCTGGAGACGACTATGGCGTCAAATGGGGGAGGGAGCCCCACTGAGAAGCCTCCAGAGCATTCGAGTGAACCGCAGTGGCTGACTCTCTGGAATTCGTAGGCGCTCTCCAAGGACCTACACACCTCTCATAGGAGCTGGCGTCAAACCCTGAAGTACTGTGAGTGGGGTGGGGGTGGCGGCCACCTTGGCTGCAGGGAGGCCGCGCAGGCTCCCAAGAGGATGCCTGGGGCCAGTCTTGGGTGGCCTTTCCTGAACGTCCTCTGGACACTAGTCAATAGATACTTCCTGTAACCTTTTTTCTTTTCTTTTTAAGAGTGTCTCTTAAAGTACAAATCCTTAAATATGGATAGCGCAGACAAAACCAAGGCGCACTTACTTCAAGCCAGCCACCCTGTGGATAAATCATGAGTTCAAAAAGCTAAAACGACTTGCCAGAAATCACGCAGCCCGGAAGCCGAAGTGTCCAAAGTTGCAACTGTGTCTCCTGAATCCAAATACAGTGTTCAGGAAAACCCAGTTCTGGAAAGTGAACAGCGCTTTGAGGATTGGGAGCCTGGATCAGCCCAAAAGGGAAGAACCAGATCACCTTCTCCAATTTCATCTCCTTTCTTCTTCGGCATTTCTAGGGAGAGGAAAGCTGTGGCCAGGGATTTTTAATGGCAAGGGAGAAGGGGGCTGTCATGGACATACCCCTTCCCCAGTGCAAAGGGAGAATTTGAGCCCTTGGTCTCTCTAGACCTGCGTGATGGGTGGAATGACCATGTTGGCACAAAGCCAATATAATAATAGAGACTGTCAAAAGAGAAGCCAACCGTACAGTATCCCTCCTGGATCAAGAAAAGGTGGGGGTAAAAAGAGAGCGACAAGTAAAAACCCCAAAGGTGTTTCCTGAACAAGATATATAGTGTTGGGGTGCTGGGGAGAAAAGAGGGAATATGGGAATTGAATACAAAGATGTACTGTGGTCCCTACCGTAAAGCATTTGAACTTTTTTGTTCAAAAACTCGACACTACATTTCCTTAAAATAGAACTGTCAAAATGCCCAAGTAAGTGTGCCATCCCGAAATGCATCAGGGCTTTTAAGAGTAACAAATTGATGCCAGATTCCCATTTGCCTTGTCCTGATAGCAAACAGAGTAAAATAGGAAGGAAGCTTTTCAGTGGGCTTGCTCCTGTGGTGGAGGGTGAGGGTGTGGAGGGACAGGCAGGAGAGGTGGCCTGGGTGTCCTAGCTGGCCCTCAGAGTGCCCCCTGTGAGTGGTTTACAACTTTTTTTTTTCCCTCCAGACTTGCAATTCTCATTCACAATGTGGTGACAGGATTCACCCAGTCATGAGGTACGTTGCAAATGCTTTAACGCTCACATATTGATTTATTCAGAAGCACTTTTGTACACTATTATGGGCTCTACCTATTGTTATGTCATTTTCATTCGCTTCCATTTTAAATACTGCTACTGGAGTGGGAAGCTGGAGTGTGAGAATTTCCCTAACTGTGGACACACGGGAGAGTGTGGATCCTGAACTCAAAAGTCATGGGTCATGTGCATTTCAGTGAAAATTAGGCCAACTGCCAACTCTGCCATCCAGTCAGCCCTTCCTAAAGGTGGCTCTGTATGCTGAACAAGCTAAATAAGTGATTCCCTGCTCTCAGTATCTCACTACTAAATTGGTAATCCCATGGGTGATAAATTAAGCCCATGTTATGGCAACTAAAATTGCTGATGAAAAGCCTGAAGAAAAGCATTGCTTTGCACCAGTCTAATGTACAAGGAAACTCATGTGTCATTGGTAGAAATAATCTGGACAGAGATTAGACTATGATATTTCATGTAAACAGCGGTGCTGACCCAAGCAGCAGGTGCTCAGGTTACTTCTTGAGCATGTACTATATGGCCAGGATTACACCAAACTCTGTGGATACAATGATGCCTAAAATCAAATCCAATTCCTGCTACCATGGTGCACGACACAAATATGATTACAAACAACGTTGGATCCCAATAAAAGAAAGGGACAAAGGATCCAGTCAAGTCTAGAAAAGTGAGAAAGACTTCTCTAGGCAAAAATCTGAAGGATGTCATGGATTGGGGGAAGATCCATGGAAAGAGCATTCTGGAGCAAAAGAATAGGTGTTGAGTGGCCCCAGGGTGGGAGAAAGCAAGGCACATTTGTGGCACAGAGAAAGTCCAGTGTGGGAAGACTCCAGGTCCCTTCCATGCTCAGTGCACTGGGCCTGGGGGTCGCCAAAACAGACACCCGTCTTGGAGTCCCTCTGAAGAGATTTTAATCTCTACCATTCTCTCTTTTCTCTGCCATTCTTCCTCCTTGGCTAACGACACTGGCTTATCATTTTTACATGAGTTTTATTTTTTTTTTTAACCACTCAACTTCTGCAAACGAATGAGAACATGCCAACAAGGTTTCAGCAAGGAGAACATACACAGAAATGCTTATCGACATCAGCCTTGTGTCTCAGTGACAGTCCTAATGAAATAACATTCCTTAGTTGTCTATTTCTCAATAAGGAAATGACAGACAATGTGAATTTTGTCTCATTTAAAATGAATAGAGTGTATAAGCACAGCCTTTCTAGTACAACACATCATGTCGAATCTACAGATCACTCTACCATTGCTGGCAAAAATAAAAAGCAAGTCAATGCATCATTTACCATGATTATTTAGAACAAAGTACATATCAACCTGGCGTCCAGGTTAATAAGTGATAGCCCATCAGTCTGATAATAAGAGGCATGACTTGGAATGGAGGCTCAAAGCAAAATCTCCATCTCAGATCATACCTTCTCGTGCCTTTATATTTTTAATGCTTCAACTTATATTTAATTTATTGTCTCTAATTATATGAAAAATGAAATTTGCTGTGAGTAGAAAATGCATAGATTTTTTTAAATGCACATATCACTAGCCTGCTTATATTATGGGAAATCATTTTTCTTTTTCCACATGTCAGATTTCTTATAGAAGCTTTATTTTTATATTGACAAAAGGACCAGGCAAGTTAATACATCCAATTGTCAAAACAGTTCTTTTACAGCATTTAAACTAGAAAATAAAAGATTCTGCATTTTAACTGAATGCACTTGATAAGAATGGTTACCTTTTCTTATGGTTATGGGCCACATTGAGGGCTCTGGATGCCCATAAGGTTTGGATTCAAATCCTCTAGTCCTGGGTTCAAACTCTACTTCTGCCACTATTTAACTATATCTTCTTAAACAAGTTCCAGAATTTCTCTGTGCCTCAGTTTTCTCATCTAGAAAGACAAAGTAATTGCAGGGTTGTTTCGGGGATTAAATATAGTGATCTAGGGACCAGCAGATGCTTAATGGTTATGTCTCTGGACTCCCCTGTAGTCAACCATGGTTCAAGTCTCAGACCCAGTGACTTCAAACTCACACAGGGCAAATGAGCTTGTGTGCCCAAGATCCTGAGAGGAGAATGGAGGAGAAGGAATTGCAGCATAGCCATCCCCCTCGGGGGGGGGGGGAGTGATTTCTCACTTTCTTTCTCTCTCTCTGTCTCTCTGGCAAGCACTTGTGCCCTATAGCAAAAAAAAAAAAAAAAAAAAAAAAACTTCTCTAAAAAAATTATACACACACACACACACACACACACATATATATAGTGATCTATGTAAAACTCATGACCCACTGTTATACATCCATTAAGGTAGCTATTAAATTATTATTCTTACAGACTCCTCATTATGAACCAGGCACTATCCTATGATAGTCTAGGCTTTACTCCTGACACCCTCCTTGAAAACAGGGCTGTTTATTCATTCGTTGTATAAATGATGAATAAAGGCCCAGAGAAGAAACAAAGCTTGCACATGTTCACAGTTGGGCAGGACCAGAATATGAACTCTGTCCTCTCAGTCACCAAAACCCACATGTTTCAAGTGCGTTATGTGATGCTAACTAACCCACAGCAGATAATAGCAAATGAGTATATATTTCAAATATTGGCATATAAAGTATTCATGATATTTCCCCCAATTCTGAGTTTCAGCTTCCAAGAATAACAGCATTGCTGAGAAGGGTCATAAGGAGAAAAGGAAACCCAGAAAGCAAAGGTTATTGGCATGTATTTAAAGCAAGCTACACTTGTGAAAAATGTCATCTATACTTGGAAAGCCAAGTTTCACATTAATAATAACCAAATTAACATAATAATTATTTTCAGAAAGTTCAGAATATAAAACAGTATCGTCTTTCCAAGAAGGTTCATAAATATGGGATAGAAATATACAATTGAGAAAGAATGGGTTAATGAGTGACCTACAAAATCTGTAGGAGTATTCTTAGCCGTAGTGAACGCCATGTAGGAGATGTCTGTGTGGGATGGTCTCACATATCCTAGGCCGTGACTTTTCCAATTCAGTTATAAATCCCCTGAAGGCAGGGACCATAGGACGGTGCTCTCACTTTACACTCTGTCCTAGCAGAGTGCTGGTAGGAACTCAGTGCTCACCTTCCCAGCAGTGAGAGAGAGTGAGAGGAAGTGAGACTGGGCCCAGCTGAGAGTTTTGTATCATATCTTATGAGATAGGACCTAATTAATTCTACCCATCCCACTGCTTGCTGTGTCTAAAAAGTTTTCTGGAGATGTTGTATTTCAGATCAAAGGCAAGGACCCTGGGATGCATTGCCTGAAGGGGCTGTCCTCAGATATCCCCCCTTTGCAGAGGTTTAAACCATAAAGTTCTGAGCTGCCACCCTCTCCCTTCAGCAGAGTCGATGCCACTGGTACAGCAACAGCCCACAGTGAGGACCATTGAAGAGAGGTCTGCTGGAAGTCCTGTTCAGGCCACCCAGTCTTCTTCTTTACCGCCATCTCCTACTGATCACAAAGGCAGGGCAGAACTTGGGGAGTAAAAATGAATTAAAGCAAAGAGTCCCAAGACCCTCCTTTCCAGGTCTGCCTCTGCTGGTATTATTTTGGCTCCGTGGCTGATGCTGGTAAAAACCAGCTATACTTGCTACAATCACATCACTTAAGCTTTGATGGCAGCTTCAAAAGATAGGTTTTTCTGTTCCCCTGTCTGATATTTCCTAACCAAGTGGCGCAAAGATGTAAAGATATCACAACCCCTCATGCCTGCCAAAATTGTAAATGGCTGTCAAAGAGGCCACGGTGTTTAGAAAGAGAGTGTAAGTCTTTTTTTCCTTTTTTTTTCAGTCTTCACTATTTTGAGTAAGAAAGGTGATGGGACAGGAAAAGGGGATCAACTGTGAGGAGGATGCAAGAACCTGCTGCCGGAGGCAACACTGTGTTGTGGGAAAAGCACTAGATTAGGAATTATAATGTTCTAATAATGGTTTTTGTTTATTGAGCATTTAAGATTCCTAAACACTCTGCTTATGCCTTATCTCTTTTTTATCCACCATCCACCCTATGAAGTAGATTTCTTTCTTCTTTTCACTTTACAGATGAGAGAACTGAGTCACCAACGCCTAGTCACAGCCCTAATGAAGAGGTGATGTGAACCCAAACAGTCTGACCCCATTGTTTGTGTGCCCAGGACCTCCCCCAGCCTGTGTAACTGGACCAGCCACCTAACCTCTCTGAGCCTCTGTTTCTTCATCTTTGAAATGGAGCTGGCGATACCTGCATTACATACCTGTAGTCAGAGCATTGTGAGGAATTAAAGGAAGAGGATTAAGAATGCAGTCTGATAAGCAGGACACGCACTAAAAATCTAATTGCTGTCTCTCAAAGCGACTGTTTGGATGGCTGGGACTTCAGTGACGGGGTGAATGTAGATTGGGGTGAGCTAGGAGACAAAGTTTATGCTCCAGGACAGGGAGAAGGCATCAGTAATGAAACTGAAACTGTTTGCTCGCTAACCAATCCAAAGGCTCTTCGGAGTGGCCTTTTCCTACCTCACACTGGAAGATAGTCCAGATCTTTGTACTCCTCTTCATCTAAAGATAGGGGTAGGAGGATATGCCTTCCTCCCACCCCCAGGCTTAAGGCGTTTGAAACTATTCCTTGGCAAGTCTGTTTCTCCTACTGTTAATAGCAGGCCTAGACACATGGTCACACTCTGTCCTGAATCCTAATAATTAGCTAGAACAAGTGAT